TTGATGGCCAAAGACACGAAACGAGCGGATTGTGTGAGAAAACGAACAGTATTTATATCATTTTTACCTCTTGTAACCACAGCAACAAAGCGCCCGCGCCCTCAGATCACTTGAACGTGGCATTTACGAGTCATAATTTGGACTTCTCTGTGCATGCTCTTGGAGGTGGTGACCATAGACCTGCATTATATGACTGACAGACACGAATGGTTTAACCTAAAAGTATAAAAATTATATACTAAAACATACCAAAAAATTAATTTCAAAGTGAACTATCTCTTTAATTAGAAATGGAATATGCAAAAATGCTGTTCCAAAACCCAAAAGACTATCATTTTCATCTTCAACAGAAATTAAGTTAATTTTCAATGTGAGAGATTTCCTTCCCTCAACTGACGACCCACGCAACTGAAACTTTTAAGTTTCAAATTTTTCATAAAGACATAAAATAATTTATAACAGTCGAATCCAAGACTTCCGAAAGAGCCCCGATTGCTTTATAAGATGAACAGATTTAATTAAGAATTTTATTCACATATAAACGCATTCATAGAGCACATCGCAAACGGTCATCATCATATAAAGTGATATTATCTCTTCGTAAGATTTGGATGAAACTGCTCATTTCATATGGACTCGTTTTACGGGCGAATCCATATCCCATACGAAGTTTTGGTTATCTGGAATACAAAAGTCTTCTGGGTTTGGAATGACATGAGGGTGAGTAAATGATGACAAAATTTTCATTTTTGGGTGAACTATCCTTTTAAGTACCTCCTAAATTTATAGGGAAATGGTTGGCTAATAATGTTTTGAAATCTACCAACCCAAACCTAATCCTAAAATCTGATCCGTTGATGAGAATGTTGAATGGAGTTCTCGGACTTTGTTAAACCCCTCTGTGACACCTCATCCTGAAGTGCCTGAAATATGTGCAAAACTCCAGTGCTCCTGCAAACAGTGGAGTTATTTAAACCACTCGCTCTCATTCTTTAAGTGCTGTCAGTGTTGTTGGGGAACTCTAATTGGTTTTTGATAACCGTCCTCGTCATTTTATGGTCAGCAAACTCTGCGGGATAACAATAAAACTGAAAAATAAAAATTTGAGTGTCTGCACACTGTCCAGACCCTAATGTATACATGCACACACACACCGGTCGGACTGCAGAAATAATGATTATGCGCGTGTTGTGCATCGGTTGTCTGTTTTCAGCTCTGGCTTTTAAAAATAATTGCTGTTGGTTCTGCAGCCGTATCAGAGGAAGGCCAGTAATGATTCTCGCCAGTCGTGTGGAACGCGGCACGCGGGGAAGCGGGGCGAGACAGACGCCAGAATAAAGGCGGCTATCATTTCTGTGTGTGTGTTTGTCTGCCTGGCACATAATTATGGTTGCATAAGCTTGTGTGTGTGTGTGTTGGTAAAGGTGCTATAATTACAGTGAGGTGTGTGTGTTTGCAAATATTCTCCAGCCCCTGTTTATAAATCAGGTGTGAATTGAAGAAACTGATGAGTCGAGAATCTCATTTGAGTGTGTGTGTGGGATCACAGAGGGATTAGAGTTGGATATAAAGCTGCACAGGTGACTACATCATAACCCACTTACACACATACTCACACAGCATTTTAATTGTCTTTCTCCTTTTCTTTACCGCCTTTTATTAGCTCTCGTCTGCAGTGTGTGCGCTCTGGGTAAAGGTCACTGCGCTCCACCATCTTGCACACTGACGACTAGCCTGCTTTTTAATTTAATCTGAATTCTCATATGCTGAAAACCTGAGATCTCATATGAGGTAAAATTGTGTGAGCTGCTATAGATTTGAGTGTAATAGTGATTTGTTGAGGGATAGAGATTTTAACGCAGCTGAAGATTGTCAACGCTTATATATATATATATATATATATATATATATATTGTGTTCTTTGCCTGCAGAGGAATATTATCAACATATTATAAACCCCAAATGTGCGTGCGTGTGTGTCTGTGGCCTGGTAAACCCTGTTATTGGGATACAATTTCCCCACGAAGATGGTAATATCTGAAATCCTTGTCCTTGTGGGAACATTTTTTAACCCCTTGAGGAAAACAGCTTTTTTAAAAATGTGAAAATATTAAATGTGAATATTTTCTGTGATGTTTTTTTTTTTTTTTTTTTACCTTCAAATGGTCTGGGCTTCGGGGTCTATACGAACCCGTCAATTGATTGAGTAATTGTACAAAATATATACATTTTTAATCATACAAATAATATATCTTTTGTTTTCTTTACTTCTCATCTATTCATTAATGCTGTGTTTTTGGAGATATAAAGTACTTTTGTATCCATATACCACACAATCCTCAACTACACCATTAGCTTGCATATGAAATATAATTTTTTTTATGATACATTGCATTTATGCTCTAGTACTAAGCCTTTTTTGACACATGAAGAAAATATATTTAGTTTTTTCCCATTTTCCATTCATTTCAATGTGGGGTCATATTGACCCCGAAGACCAGAAGTGTAAACACACCTTCAGAACAACCAAATCAAGCCCAGTTTTTGTGTGTGTGTGTGTGTGTATAGATAGATAATGTATGAAAAGTCACAAAATCTTATTCCACTGAGATGAAGGGAACCTTTTTTTTATTATTAAGTAAAAGTCAATTGGGGTCGTATAGACCCCATGACCCGATTGAGGGCTACAGAAGTCTCTTATGCTCACAAAGGCTGCATTTATTTGATAAAAAACAGTGTAAAGATGACATTGAATTATTATCATTTACTTAGTTGCTATAAAGCTGTTTTCATTGTAGTAGAGCGACCTATATTTTAAAATCTTAATTATTCCAAATTTATATATATATAGAGAGAGAGATTATATATACTGATACTCATTACTGTATTATCAAAAATACAGTAATATTGTATTTATATGTATTATTTAGTAATATTGTGAATTGAAATCTCATTATCATTGCAATTTAAAATAACTGTCTTGTATCTGAATATATTTTTCAAATGTAACGTATTTGTGTGATGCAAATCTAAATTTTCAGCATTATTACTCCAGTCTTCAGTGTCACATGATCCTTCAGAAATCATTCTAATTAATATGCTGATGTGCTGCTCAAGAAACAATTATTATTATTTTTCAAAACAATTGTGCTGCTTAATATTTTTGTGGAAATTGCGATAGAATTTTAACATTTATTTGACATAGAAATATTTTGTAATATTTTGAATGTCTCCATTGTCACTTCTGATGAATTGAATGCATCCTTGATGAATAAAAGTATTCATTTCTTTCACAAAACAGTAACACTTTACTTGAAGGGGTGTGCATATGACTAACATGAAACCTTTATAATCATGGCATGACATGACGTATGTTATGAATATGAAGGAAGTTTTATGCATGTTTATGACCGCTGTCATTAAGTGTCATTCGCTCAATTATGACATTTTGAATGCAAATATGACATTGTTTGAGATGTCTTTGTCCAATACACCATAACCTGTCAGTGTCTTTGTCATGGTAACTTGACATTACTAAGACAACACAACCTGTCATAAACATGATTAATTATCAAACTTAAGAAAGCACCTAGCTTTATTGGTTAACATTACATTAAACTGTCATGTGGTTGGTTTTGACATTGGCTGTCATGAAGTCATTATAACTTTTAATGACAAATCAAATTCAATTAGTACCACTGTAGTTGAGGTGACGAAACATATTCATGACACAGTTATAATGGCCTCATGACAGCCAATGTCAAAGCCAACCACAGGACAGTTTAACTTAACTCAATGTCAATTTGTCATGACAAAGACACTTACAGGTTATGATGTATTGGTTTATGTCAAGATGTCATATTTGCATTCAAAATGTCATTATTGAGTGAAAGTCACTCAATGACAGTTGTCATAAACATGCATAAAGTCTACTTCATATTCAAGACATATGTCATGTCATGGTTATGAAGGTGTCACGCACACCCCTTCAAGTAAAGTGTTACCCAAAAAACAAAGCCAAAGCAGTGTTTTGAAACTAACACAGAGCCACGCTGTGAGTCAACAAATAAACGTCTAGTCATATTCCCCACATATTATACATTATATTTGAGATTTTAACATCAGCAAAACTTTACCTTTAATTACGGCCTAGTGTCTCTGTCCGTCAGGCTCGTGCGAGTGAGGCGCGACTGGCGGAGCTGCACACACAGCTGTCCCGCTCTCAGCAGAGGACACAGGAGCACATGAGCGTCCTGCGGGACAGAGAGGAGGAGGTGCTGCTGCTGAAGATGGACATGGCCGCTCTCAGAGAGAACTACGCTGAGAAAGTGTCCCAGGTCAGCCACAGTATCCTCACACCATTCATATCATTCTGCTGTGTTTGTGTTCATTCATGTCTTCATGCGCAGGTTGAGGCTTTGCACTCACAGATGGACAGTGTTGATCAGAAATATAACGCAGCTGTGTGTGAAGTGGAAGTTTTGCGGCAGTGTTTGGGAGACGCACGGAGTGACAGCTCTCGACTTCACAGGGAAAGTGAACTCGTCGTGACCAATGTGAACCAATGGGTAAAGGAGCAAAAGTAAGACATGCAATCATTCAATACCACAGCACTTCACAAGTCTAAAAAGCTAAACACACAGCTGTCTGGAATACTTGATTCTGATTGGGTGACTACTCTACAATTATTCAAATATTGTTGCATACTGATCACTAAAGTATACCAAGCAGTGTCATTATTGTTAACTAAAACTATTAAGAATTATTTTCAGTAATTGAAATTGAGCTGATGTACAACTTTTTTTTTAATTGTTAAGAATATATATATATATATATATATATATATATAAACAATTGTGATGCTTAATTTTTTGGTGGACATCGTACTACATTTTTTTGCAATTCTTTGATGAATAGAAATAAATATTTCATAACATTGTGAATGTCTTAACTGTTTCTTTTGATCAATTTAATGTATGCATATATGTATTTGTATATATGTGTCTACACTGTATATATATATATATATATGTATATATATATATATATATATATATATATATATATATGTATATATATATACATATATAAAATATTACATATATATATATATATATATATATATATATATATATATATGTGTGTGTGTGTGTGTGTGTGTGTGTGTGTGTGTGTGTGTGTGTGTGTGTATACATGCAACTAAAAATGAAAATACGAGAAATATCAATAATAACAAATGCACATTATTTACAACTTTGAAAATTAGTTTTTACAGTGTATCTAATTTAATGTCTCTAGTATCCCTCCACTTCCATCTTCTCACATTTCTAAATAAATTGAACTCAATTCAATATTTTATTTTATGTCCATTTGTGAATTCATATTTTGTAAATATTACGTAGTTTGTAAGGAACCGTGTAATTAACAGCATTTTGTACAGTCAGTATTGTAAATTAAACTCCATTATACCTATCCCTTTTGGTGTTTGTTTTGCAATAATGACCAAGCTGTGTGTTTTCACTTGCGTAACATCAAATCTCGTTTCTTACTGCATAACATGTCACAGATTGTATCACATGTTACAGTGTTGGAACCAGTATATACCTTTACAGAGTTTAGAAAGTGTCTGTGGCGCATCAGAACTTTTGCATCCAGTGTTATAATGGCTGTATCATTATCATTCAGCATCATGGTTTGATTGTGACAGCAGCTCACAGCTTCCTCACTGCAGCCCATTATCTGTGCCCCTGCTCCTCTCCAGGCACACTAATGAGAAACTGGCACTCAAGATCAAAGACCAGAGCAGGAAGATCATCCACCTGACAGCTGAGAGAGAGTAAGCCCCGCTCACCCTGTCCAACGCTCCTCTCAGCTCTGAGTGTGTACAAATATAAGTTTAGCTTCAAGTAGCAGGGAATGTGCATGCAAACATATGGAGAAATGGGTGTGCTTGTGTGAAATGGGATTTGGCTGTAATGTTTGTCCTGTTTTCACGCAGTCACCTTCAGGAGAATGTGAAGGGTTTACATGGGGAAATCAGGAGGCTGAATGCAGAGCGACTGAAGGTAAAGCCCTAAACACACTCCAGCGCACATGTCTATCGATTGTTTTTTAATCCACATCAATTTATGAAATGGAAGTTTTGACTCCATGTTGTGACAACAAGTTTTGAGCAAGAAAAAAAAAACAGTTGGGGCATGAATTTCTGAAAAGTGAGCATTGCATAGAGGAATGGAGGCGGATCTCGATGCGATTGGCTTAAGTGCAGCATGGCCTTGTGTACATCAAGGATGTCGAACTAGTCATAAGAGCAAGATTTTGACAAAAATTTTCAAATTTGTAATATACACTCACCTAAAGGATTATTAGGAACACCTGTTCAATTTCTCATCAATGCAATTATCTAATCAACCAATCACATGGCAGTTGCTTCAATGCATTTAGGGGTGTGGTCCTGGTCAAGGCAATCTCCTGAACTCCAAACTGAATGTCAGAATGGGAAAGAAAGGTGATTTAAGCAATTTTGAGCGTGGCGGGGTTGTTGGTGCCAGACGGGCCGGAGTATTTCACAATCTGCTCAGTTACTGGGATTTTCACGCACAACCATTTCTAGGGTTTACAAAGAATGGTGTAAAAAGGGAAAAACATCCAGTATACTATATAGTTCAAAAGTTAAAGTAAACTGAATTGATTATAAGTGAGTCAATTCTAAATATTTCTATTTCAGATTCTGATCTTTTGATCTATAATAAAATGTATCAGTTTCAGCTCTGCCATCACAAAAATGAATTGCCTTTTAAAATATATTTAAAAAATAGTAATATTGACACATTTTCCCTGTATTTTGGTCAATTAAATGCAGCCTTATTGAAAAGCTTACCGATTTTACCAACCCCAAACATTTGCACGGTGTTATATAAATGCACAATAATATGTTAAAATAAATCGCTTTAGATATTAATAAATAAATATCAATTCTGATTTCATGCCGACTTCAAATTTGATATGAAATATTATAGTAATATGTAAGGAGAAAGTGTACATCTCATATCCTATCATCCATTTTTAGTCATTTTTCATTCACAATCATTGTTTGATGATGTGAGTTTACCGTTCATTAACTAACGTTAACAATAAGTATTAGTAAATGTTGAAATTACCATTACATTAATAAACACTGTGTAAGTGCAGTTGTCCAGTGTTAAAAAAAAATATTTTGTCATCTGCCCTGTAGCCTTCTTATTTATCATAATTTATTTTATTTGCAAAGATCAAGTGTATTTCATGTTAACCGCAGCACCTCGTATAGTTACAGTCGTCATTGAGTGCATATTAACATTCACCTTTGTGGTGTATAAACAGGTCTTATATGCAGCTTTTGCCTCGAATCACCTGTCCAGTTTGATCTTTCTTCTCCTCCTCCTCTTATATTTCCTGAATGACCCAATACTGGCCATTTCCTATTACACCTCTCCTTTTCATTATTTTCCTCCATTCTCTGTTATCCCGTCCTCATGCATAGCATCAAGCGAGACCGTCTTTGTTGTGATTAGGTTGGTATTTCTATCAGATGCAGAGAAAAGGTGTCCTATAACCACAGTTGAAGGTCCATGTCACCATTAGCCATCTCATTCTGGAGTGCCCGTCCTCTCGCTGCCGAATGATCCGGCTCTGTAGGTACAGGCTTATCCTCTGTAATAGGGTCTGATCTGATTCACACTTGTGAAATTGGAAAGGAAAAGTTTAGAGATGATTGAGAACTTCGGCCACGGTGGAAGCCGAGGGCTGGAGCTGCGGCTCTGAACCCAATCATTCAGGCATTGTTGACCGTGCTGATGAGCCCGTCCTGCAGGGTGGAATCCATTCTGCTCCCTGTTTGTTCTGAAGGTCCAGAACCTGCTCCACATGCCACCTTATTCCATTATTGATGATAGAGAGAGAGAGTCAGAGGCCTGACTTTACAGAGTTATACTACTTCAGAAGTTTTATTCAAAGAGAAGTTGAAGAGCTGGTTTTGTGACCCCAGAACGAGTCTGGACTAATAATGCATACAGCGGTTGTTGGTTGCATGTTCTCTCGTATGGAAACAGCTCACACAAAACTGAATGTTCCTCATGTTGTTCCAACCCTCTATGAGTGCCTTGACGCACAAAAGGTGTGACATGTTCTCCGTCAGGTTTGATGTCAGTGAAATTTGGTCTTTATAGTCCATTGGAGATCTTTGGTGGGCATGAAGATTGTCGGTGAATAATAACTTCAATTTTAGTCCTCGCATCTATCATGTGACTTGGAATAAATCTCCACATATATTAACATTGATTAAGTACACTCATGATTAAGTGTCTGTTAAAATAATGTGGCGCGACTCCCGAAAACAACTTCTTTGATATTTACTTTTTATGAAAATATTGAAAAGGATGTGTGCACTTGTGTGTATTTAAGGTATAATGAATATTTTGCACTTGATGGCCACACCACATGAATTCACTACCAAGTATTTTGTAACAGTGTTATCTTATTTATATACAATTATAGTATGTATTAATGTTTTGAATTAGCATTTATTTATATATTTTCAGCTTACATTTTATCTATTTAGCTTTAATTCATTTTTATTTCAGTTTTAGATTTAGTAATTTTAGTACCTCGACTGAAACTGAATTTCAGTTATATGAGCAACATTTCTCATTTTCGTTTAGTTTTTATACATATTTCATTTCAAATTACAAAAAAAATGTTTTAGTTATCAATAATATCTAAGAACTTGACGACACGTGTTTTAAACTAGATTGTCAATACATTTTACTTTTTTCTTCATCATGGGCACTCTTTACTTTGACCCATTATTGACCCATAAACCATTATATGGTGCTTTAATTATGGTGCTTTTTTCATATTTATTCAAGTTAACTATATGGAAAAGAAGGACCAAGATATTCTTAAAAAAAAAATCATTAGTAACACTTTAATTTAAGGTGACCAAGCTACATTACTACATGTACTTACTATAGTAATGACTGTAAATTATAGTCAAATTATAATAATATGAGAATGTATAAAAACTAAACGAAAATGAGAAATGTTGCTCATATAACTTGAGGTACTAAAATTACTTGAGGACATAAAAATGAATTAAAGCTAAATAAAAGTATTAAAAATTAGTCAAATGTAAGCTAAAAATATAGTAAGGACATGTAGTTAATTAATATTACTCAGTACTTGAGTAAGTTCAATGTCACCTTAAAATAAAGTGTAACCTATTTTTCCTGGTTTACAGGGAGAAAAAAGTATGATTTGTAATAACATGAGGGTAAATAATGATAAAATTTTGGAATTTTGAATTTACCTTTGAACACTCTAAAAAATGCTGGGTTATTTCAACCCAAATTTGGGTCAAATATGGACAAACCGAAATGTTGGTTTAAAAACGTAATTAATAAAATGTACTGTTGAAAGTAAAAGTTGAAGTTAGGTTAAAATTTTATATTTTTGACCCAACATTTGGGTTTGGCCATATTATACCCAATTTTGGGTTTAAAACCATCCAGCATTGTTTAGCGAAAACTAAGTTACCCAAGTGTACATTCTTGTTGATAGATGTGAAACCACTTAAAAGGACAAACAACAAGCACAAGTTTGGGTAGCAAAGTGAAGCTCAACTAATGTTCTTCCAGGACACCCCAAGTTCCTTCTGGACTCTAAGAGAGTCAGAGTAAATACAAATAAATAGACAGGAGAGGAAATGGCTTGTAGCATGTGGATTATTTATGACATGCCAGTCTCCTTCTGCATGCATGGATTCCCAGCTTTCATTAAGTGTCATTACTAGAGCTCTTAGGCCAGGTGTGACCTTACAAATCTGCTGAGACCTGACATCCAGCCCGGGACGGGGCAACATGTATATGGATGGACTCTTGCATCCTTTGGATGAGCAGATTTGGCTGTTAGTAAATACATAACAGTACCACTGCTTGATTTGTTGTGATAAATAACTTATAATAGCCTCAGTGGCTCCATCAGGAAGGGACGGACGTGTTTATTCCGCTGTGGAGACGGGCATATAGTATGGCTGTGTTTAATGGCTGGCCTTGATCAGGATGTTTATCAGTGCGCTCTGAGCTTTTTTTTCTCTCTCTCTAATGTATACGTTTTTGAAGAGAACTAAAACAGACGCTTTTACAAGACGACTCCCCCCCCAAACCCTGCTATTCATTAGCAATTTCCACTTTCCAGTTCACTTCATGCAGCGTCCTCTGATTGATGGAAAGCCTGCCATGTTTATTTGGATATCAGGGAATGAAATATTCATATTGTACGCTTTTCCAAGCAGAAGTTATCTGGGTGCAGCGTAAATGGTACTTGGGATTAGATTTTCACAGCAGATTGCAGTTATTAAAGAGCAGAAAAGGAGGGGGATACAGGGAAGCTGCCATCTTCTGGGGAGGTAATCTATTTCTTTTCACGCAGACTTGGAGCGGCTGCATAGCCTCTTAATGCACTGGAGCAAAAGTGCTTTGGTCCGCAACCTTTCACGCCTTCCTCTCCCTTTTATATGATTGAATACTTAATAACTTTGACTTTGCTTTGAAAGCCTGCGCCATGGGGCCTTTTGGGGTTCCTCGTGGTGGGGCTGCTGGTGTACCTGAGTGTTTGTCTGCTGCTAACTGCTCTTATTAGCGGCTGTCTGTCAGCCTTTTGGCCACAGCTCATCCAGAGTCATTTGTGTCCTCTGATATTAAGATAAAGAGTGGGAGATGATGTGCAATCTGACTTTTAGGCTGTTTTCACACTTAAGCTGCTTTTTGTTGTTGTTGTTGTTTTTTTTGATATCTTATGATTGTACAATGTGACAAGCAACAATGTGACCCCAGTGAGATCTTGGGTAAAAGCCTAGGCAGACTTTGCAAAATCAATGGTTTGTTATTCAGACAAGTCTGGTCACAATTGACAGGTTTTTTCTAAGTGATCAATCACTTGATGTTCTGACATCCTTATTGGTTCAGCATGCATGTGTACCGAAAAAATACAGCGTTGTTTTAATGCAGCACTATGTAACTTTTTCAACCTTTATAATATTTTTCCAAAACCCTTGAGATACATCGACTTACAATAGGTTGAATGACAGGTCTGCCATAGCCTAACGATGTCTGTATCGCTTTTATTGGCACTCTGTAACTTCGGGGAGCGGGTAGGAACCCGAGCACAAAAAGAACTACAAAATTCGACTGTTTTACGGCATACATCACTTACCCCACTTCCTCAAATTCTGAATCGAGAGCCCAATGAGCTTTTACCTCTGTATGTTGTCATGGCTGTAGCAGCAAGTAAAACCAAGAAGCCAAAGGTTTTGTCGGAGGACAGTAAAAAGAGAAAAAGGGAGAGTAGCAAAATAAAAGGCTAGATGAAGATCAATATTGGTCCAGCTTTAGCTCACTGCCGCCACTCATCCATAGGGTACGCCAAAATGAGCGAACAAGTGATTTTTTTTTATACTAATAGTATTTTAAAAACATTAATTCGCAAAACTACTCCACAAAGACGTAACTAAGTCCCCTGACTCCGGTCCGGTGCATCAATCTTCACCCGCCTAGCAAATGTGAAGTGCGTCAGAAACAGAGCGCGTGGGCTATCAGTTTACTGTTGTTTTTTTTTCCCTGTCGATTTTTTAGGTGCAAAAAAAGTTTCTCTAATCTTCCCAAAACTCTGGATTCTGATAGAGGGCCATGAGACTTAGACCTGAGTGCAAAAATGGAGGCTCTAGCCCCTTCCAGAGCTGAGATATCGAAAATCAAAAATTCGGCCCGAAAAAAAAACGACAGTGGTACCCCTTACGTTTTTTTTTTTCGGGCGAAAAATAAAGTTTCTCCAATCTTCCCAAAACTCTGGATTCTGATAGAGGGCCATGAGACTTAGACCTGAGTGCAAAAATGGAGGCTCTAGCCCCTTCCAGAGCTGAGATATCGAAACTCAAAAATTCGGCCCGAAAAAAAAACGTAAGGGGTACCACTGTCGTTTTTTTTTCGGGCCGAATTTTTGAGTTTCGATATCTCAGCTCTGGAAGGGGCTAGAGCCTCCATTTTTGCACTCAGGTCTAAGTCTTATGGCCCTCTATCAGAATTTGGGAAGATTGGAGAAACTTAATTTTTCGCCCAAAAAAAAAACGTAAGGGGTACCACTGTCGTTTTTTTTTCGGGCCGAATTTTTGAGTTTCGATATCTCAGCTCTGGAAGGGGCTAGAACCTCCATTTTTGCACTCAGGTCTAAGTCTCATGGCCCTCTATCAGAATTTGGGAAGATTGGAGAAACTTAATTTTTCGCCCAAAAAAAAAAACGTAAGGGGTACCACTGTCGTTTTTTTTTCGGGCCGAATTTTTGAGTTTCGATATCTCAGCTCTGGAAGGGGCTAGAGCCTCCATTTTTGCACTCAGGTCTAAGTCTCATGGCCCTCTATCAGAATTTGGGAAGATTGGAGAAACTTAATTTTTCGCCCAAAAAAAAAACGTAAGGGGTACCACTGTCGTTTTTTTTTCGGGCCGAATTTTTGAGTTTCGATATCTCAGCTCTGGAAGGGGCTAGAGCCTCCATTTTTGCACTCAGGTCTAAGTCTCATGGCCCTCTATCAGAATTTGGGAAGATTGGAGAAACTTAATTTTTCGCCCAAAAAAAAAAACGTAAGGGGTACCACTGTCGTTTTTTTTTCGGGCCGAATTTTTGAGTTTCGATATCTCAGCTCTGGAAGGGGCTAGAGCCTCCATTTTTGCACTCAGGTCTAAGTCTCATGGCCCTCTATCAGAATTTGGGAAGATTGGAGAAACTTAATTTTTCGCCCAAAAAAAAAACGTAAGGGGTACCACTGTCGTTTTTTTTTCGGGCCGAATTTTTGAGTTTCGATATCTCAGCTCTGGAAGGGGCTAGAGCCTCCATTTTTGCACTCAGGTCTAAGTCTCATGGCCCTC